ACCTGGGCTGAAGGCAGCCGCTTAAAGACTGAGCCACCCAGGAACCCCCATAATGGTTTTCTTTGTGTATTTAGTCTGCCTGCTCATCCATATTCTCCCAAAGAATAAGAAAAACAACAACAAAACAAAAACAAGAAACAAGTCATGTTATTTTGGACTTGTTTAGCTGCCATAGTGTACCTCCTTTACTTATTCATCAATAATTTTGTGAATTATTGTGCCAGGCCATTTGGTAGATGCTAGGGATATAAAAGTGATCAAGACAGTTGTGGATCCTATCCCTGTGGGGAATAAACCCTATGGAAGAGAGAAATAACTGGTAACAAATGAATAATCTAAAGGAGTGTACTAAGCTGGGTAAGGACCATGGAATGTGAGGGAGAGACTTGATAAGGTGATCTAAGCCTCTTACAGTGCTATATGGGGTGAAGTTAAGAAGGAACATGGCTTATGAGGATCTCTCTGGAGGTTGAGATGTTTCAGGCAAAAGAAACTGTAATACAGAGATAGGAAAAAGTTTGGAATATTTTAACAGGATTAGAAGTCCTGTGTAACAGTGGGTGAGCTCCTTAAGATGTCGTTGGCATAGGAAGAAAAAAACAGATTTTAGAGAGCCTTGTAAAACAATTGAAGCAAACAAGGACTGTTAAGTGAAAGATTGTCATGATCATTTCTCCATCCATCCATCCATCCATCCCTTCGATGGTTTGGGGGAAAGGATTAGGATCCAGTATTATTAGGAGTGGGGATAGAGCAGAAAGTTGGAAGACAGTTAGGGAGCTACTGAAGTTATCCAGACAAGACAGGAGAATGCTTTTGACTATAGAGGTGACAGTGAAGATGGAGAAGAGTAGGTGGATGAAGAGAGATTTCAGAGGTGAAATAGATACCACTTGCTGGTGGATTTGATGTGCAGGGTGAGAGATGGGGGAAAGTCTCTGACCTGACCAACTAGATATCTGATATTTTCTGTGATGGGAAAGACATGAAGAAGAAAAGAGTGTTTGGAACTTAAATAGTATTTACCACCATGGAATGAATGCTATCATCCAGGAGAGAAGATGAAAAAAAAAAGAATTCAGGACCTCAACACTTAGAAGACAATGAGATAAGGAAGAGCCAGCAAACGGACACTTGAGAATGAGCTACAGCAAACAGGAGGGGAGAGGAGAGGAAAAGCTAAGATCATGTGTTTTATTGGGGGAAATGATTAAATTTCAAAAGCTTCTGAGAGTCCAGCAAGCTAAGGACAGAAAGTTGACCCTGGAAATTGACCAGATGCAGCTCATGAGAGACCTTGACAAGAATATTAATGGAGTTTTGAGGATAGAATACAAGTTAGGATGAGTTCTAAGTGGAAAATTAGGAAAAGGAAACCACATAGAAGAACTGAAGAGATTTTTTTTTTATCACCTACTGTGACAAAAAGGATGCTTTGTATCAAATTATTTGAGAAGTTGGGGATATATATGGACAGAGGGATTTAGATCTTCATAAAATATTTTAACACCACCCTGGCTTATTTTAAATTTATATGTAGCAGTTCTTCAGTTGTCAGTCAGAAAAATTGTTATGTCTTGATCACTTTTTTTAAGATTTTATTTATTTATTTGATAGAGACAGCGAGAGAGGGAACACAAGCAGGGGGAGTGCTGAGGGAGAAGCAGGCTTCCCGCCGAGCAGGGAGCCCAATGCGGAGCTCGATCCCAGAACCCTGGGATCATGACCTGAGTTGAAGGCAGACGCTTAATGACTGAGCCACCCAGGCGCCCCTTGATCACTTTTTTTAATAGATTCTCATTTTTTAAACACATAACCACTTTTTCTAACCACCTTTATACCTTTCAACAACTTCCCAGCAAACTCAGAGGGACATTTGAATAAACATGTAAGTCAGTCACAGTTTCCACAAACTTGAGTGCTTTGAAAGACTTTACAACATACGGCATGTATACCAAGGATAACAGAATTAAACACTCTGGTTCTTGCATTACACCACAATTTCCCAGTGCCAGATACTTCTTTAAGATAAACTAGGATTAAAAAAAAAACAAAAAACTAGGATTTTGCAATGGGGGACACATCATGGAGGTGGAGGTCAGCTACTATGTGTTACTGTATCATTGCTCATAAAGTATCCCATGTTCAAATGGTTTTTAAGTTACTGTAGTCAACACAAATTCTTTTACATTGCCATTAGATTTTCTCTCAAAGAAGTATCATGCTGATGCTTTTTTTCTCTTTTAAAATAAAATTGACAAAAGTTAATCTGCTTGAACTTACTTTATGGCTAGAAAGCATCTGTGTCCCACTGCTGTCAGCCTTGGATTGACTGGGTCCTGCATTGTTATTCTTGCTGAGTTCCAGTAACAATCAATAAAATATCACAGGCATCTTGACTACAAAGTATTACCACTTTTACCCCTGAGCTAGTAGTGGGAGAGAGTGGATAAAACACAGGGTTTGGAGTCAGAAGACCTGAGTGTGAATCCCAGCTCATTTGCTTACTACCCAGGTTAAGCGAACAAGTCATTTTAACTACACTGGTCTGGAGTGTTCCTAATTCATAGAATGGATATAAAAAAATGATACTTTCCTGACCATCCTACAGGGCAGGTAGCATGTTCAAATGTGAAAGCACTTTATAAACTGAAAGGTTGGTACACTTGGTCAGTATTGTGGGGATATGAATTATAGAACACAAATTTTAACCTCTCATGGGCTCCGAAAATCTGCCACATTTTTCCCATTCTCTAATTTTTAAGTCTTCACTGCTTATCCCCACCACCATCATCTTTAAGCTCTTTAGATTGAAATCTGTGTGCTTCATTTGTTTACTTCTTCATCTGATCCTTCAAGGCTGCTAGTTAGGCTATAACTCTGTTAGAATTTAACTTTCATAGAATTCAATAGAAGAGCGAGAAATCTATTTATAGGAGTATATCTGTTTTCTTTTTCATATTTTATATCAATATAGGTACATAGGTGACATCACCCATCAGAAGCGAAAACTCTTTCTGGTGTTCTTCTAGGTCGCATCTTTTGTTCTTGTTCCTAAAATATGGAGCCTTTAGTGATATGTGTCCGTCAGCATTTCCAGTTCTTAGGCTACACAGCTTTGCATTCAGAAACAGAGCAACGTATGGTTGTTACGACCTTTGGCAACAAAGAACCCCTCAATGCTTGCAGCAGAAGCGTCTCTTACTTGCTGGCTAGCTGAACATTTTTCATAAGATCTCACTATTTAATTTTCAAATGGAACACAAAGCTCATGATTACTGTTCTATAGTAACTTCTTAAAACTGTTCCCAGGCTTGCATTTTGCTGTATTAGGGAAAGAATTTTGCTTAACGTATACTTACAAAAATATCCTGCTGAAGTCACAGTGCCAAGAAGGCAAAGCATTCAAGAGGAGAATGGAAGCACTGACGTTCTGTATGGCATATTGCAGCAAAGTGTGATGCGCCACATGGGAGCCTGATATTTATACATCGCAGTTAGATAACAATAGTGGCGGGAGATGGCAAAGGAGGCCTGGGTTAAATGCCTTCCTGCACACGTTTCTCCTTCCAGGATGTCACCGGGGCTAGGCTACGGTGATGCCAGAGACAAGGACCAAAATGACATCAACATGCTATTGCCATTTAATAAAGCAGTCTCCTTCTCAGTGTTCTCCTTGATCATACTTGAAGACTGGATTCTGTAATCCAGCTCCACCAAAATCAAATAATTTCAAAACTTTTAGACTTTTTTTTAACAGAATCTTTTAGTATATCCCCTTCTGTCTAGTGAAGCATGCTTTGGGGAGTTGGTTCATAGGGAGGCTCTGGTTCTACAGTGACAGTGTAACTCTAGCTGCAAAAACGTAGGCAGGTTTTTCAATAAACTACATTAGTGCCTGTATGTCTCTACTGTTTAGCAGTTACAAGAATCAACTATCATGGGTAGGATTCCCTGATACGTTTCTGAACTTAAGGTAGGTATTGGGATAGGTAATGGGATAGCAGAAGAGAAAGGAAATGTTTACATGATACTCAACTGCGTAAATATTACTTGTTTTTAATATTTATTTTTTGTTTCACCCCCACTTCCTCAAAAAAAATCCAAATTAAAAAAAACCCTCATTGGAAACTTGCTTTTGTTCTCTAAAAATTTGGAGGACCCTTTCTACATTTACCAGATATCTCCTTCTATATCAAATCCCTCTGAGCACATGCTAAGTGTACCTATCCTACACTAATATTCATAGAGTCACATTAATTTCGTTTAATATTTCCTGATTTTATCAGGCTTATCACCTAATCATTTTACTAATATGTATTGATCTATAACTAGAATCAGGAGCTGTTTAACAGAGTTGGAGCCATAGAGGAACATTGAGATACTGACATCTACATTTATGTTTCTCGGGGGTGTGGACTATTTTTTTTTTTTTTTTACTGAATTAGAATAGATACTTAAGTTTCTAAGAACTAGCAATTAGGACTTTCCTATCATGGAGAATTACTAAATACCAAAAAAAGTCTGTGGTTGAGACATACAGAACTTTAGGACTCAGACAGAAGGCCAGAGAGATTTTAGTAGAAATGAAGCCGGGAGATAGGCTGGTGGGAAGTCTTGAGATGACTAGATGATTTTTTCCTATATGGCTTTTAATCCTTTGTGTCTCTAAAGTAAAAAAATATAGCTTTGCTATAATAGACCTAAAGTTTCCTTAAAGATTGAAATTTTTGTGTGAATTTATATTAAAAAATTCTTACTGAAAAATTAGTTAAGAGGTCAGGATGAGAAATACTCTATTTTTATATTCTTCTTCAAAGTAAGAATGAAATAATATGGATGAAAGAGTTTGAAATCAAAAATTTCAACATATTCTGTGAAGAAAATACTTGTAATACAAAGATGCAGGACATTTTATTGAAAATAATAATTTTCATTTTATTTGAATGACTAAACATAACTTTATATTGGTTTTTCTTCTTTTAAAAAAAATCTAACAGAGAAGAAAATCACGATACTCAGACCTTGACTTTGAGGTAAGTTTCTCCGGATTTTTAAAATAATTTTAATTGCTTGAATTCAAGATTGACATATAATTACTTAACCATGTTACTCTGCAGTAGGTAGGAGCTCTACTTTTTAAAAATTAAATGAGAAGTCAAACATTTTTAATTAGAATCCATACTGTAAAACTACTTGTAGAAAAAAATTTTAACTTCTAATTGACTTAGATGTATGCTAAACTGAGATATTCCAAACAAGGAATCCATTTTATAAATACTAAGACAAATGGGCAATTTATGGTGAGGACTGAATTTGATCAGTTCAGTTTGTTATGAGGTAAGAATGTCGGTCTCTTCGTTTCATATTTGTAACAATTATATTGGTTTTACTTCAGTAACTACCTGAAAACAGAGCCTCTGAGAATGCTTTGGCTGGTTATGTAGGCTTTCTCTGGAATTGCCTTGTGTACTGATTCCCCTTATTAAGGTTCTCTGTGATACATTCCAGATTCTTTTTTCCAATAGCAAGTGTTATTCAATGTGTTCCCGTGTTCAGTAAATGCCTTTTCACAGATATAAACAAGATGAAGATGTTCATTTCCAATTTGCATTGAGTTTATATTGATGTTGTAATATCGATGCTAGAAATCACTGAAATCATACCATTTGAGCAGCTTATGCTAAGCACAAAATTAATGATGTTTGAGTGTCACATAAAAGGCACTTATGCATCTTGATAATTGGATATGATTCATAGCCTGCTGACATAATTGGATATAATACGTTATAAATTTCTCTAGCATATTTGTACTGTTTTGATGCTTACATAGAACTTGATAATCTTAGTTGATATTCCTAAAATTATGGAAACCTTTTAGAGTATGGAAACTTCTAGATCAGTCATTTTATGTAGATGAATGTTGTAGCTCAGCCATATACATCAGGTATCAAAAGTGAGACTTAACTGTTTCTATTTACTGCATTGGTAAACAAGCTCTGGTTTTACCCTAAAGAGAACTGGCCTTTTTTAGTAAAATTTCACACTACAAGAAACAAAGTAATAATAAAGAATCTGACCTCAATAATTATGTGGCAAAATTTCCTACTGATGCATCTCAGTTGTAGCCACTTGGCATGGGATAAAAACTTCATTCTATCCTAAGTTTTAGGGTACAAAGAAAAAACACTTAGCGATCTTCATTTTTTTACTTTTTACTGCCTTTTAAAGGACAGATTTTTTTTTTTTTCTATTCTTTAGGTCACCCAAAATAGAGGATCATTGTGTATATATTTTTTGTCCTGAAAGCAGTAAGTTGTGTCAGTACAAATGAAAGGAGGTGGGAATTAATCCATGAAGCATCAGTGACAAAATATAGTAAAAACCTAGATCTAAAATTAGGCCTCAATGCAACCAACCAAAGCTATGTAATCAGAAGCTCTGAAAAGAACTCTTACCATATTGGGTCAGTTGGAGCATTAGAAAAACTTCCTTTTTCATATATTTTCTGTGGCAACTGGTAGCAGATTCCTTAAGCAGATGCTTTTTTCCTGCTGCTTAGTATCCCAACATCCAACCATGGTATTATCAAAACATTTACTGGTAATGGGAGACGTTGCAACACAACCCTGGGTAGTTAGCTCTTTAATTACAATGGTTACCGCATGATTGCTAGAAGCGTAAAATTGGGAGCCAGGGGGACACTTTGCGATACTACATTGTCTTTACAAACTTTTTAGTACCACTCCCCTTAGTCTGTGTGCAACTGTAGGTATGTGGCAGAGACCTCATAGATGGTGTTCAGAAAAATTACTGCCAGCTTTAAATGCTGATAAATTTTAATATGATATATTTGTACTTTGTGGATGGTCCTTGACGAAGAGCCAGAGTTGCCTCCCTCCGCTTTAAATCAGGCTGGATAAATTTTGTTTATATCAAACTACTTGCTAGTCCCCGAATTCCCACGCCATAAGCTTTAACACACAGTGGCCAATGTAGGCATTTTGCCACTGACAAGCAAATTTGTCTCCTGGGCTCCTGAAGATATCTATCTTCCCTTTAGGCCATATACACTCCCCAAAGTCTGTACACAATAACAATATTCTCTCAACTCGCACTCCATAAAACATTGGCCAGTAAATGTTATACCTGGGGAAAAGTCCTTTCATGTTGCCAATCTCCAAGAAAATACTGCGTTTTTAGGAATAAATAGAGCAAAGTGTTGACTAGTCAAAATGATGTAACATCAATTCTTACTTTCAGGGAAGTATACAGAAAATACTGTAGTGATATCCCTATATTCTGTGACCAAACTCCTTACTGGATTTGCATTCTCAGCTCCAAGCAGAGATCTAGTATATGGTATCAACCTCAAAAATTGAACAAATTAAAAAAACAAAGGTTATCAAGCAGCAAATGAGTTTATTTGGGAATTGCAATTCAGGACATGCAAGCCTGGAAAGGAAAATAGGAAGTTAGGAGGTACTGTTTTAAACACTCCTTGAAAGCATTGCCGATCAAGAGTCAGGTTTTCTATATTTAGTGATTTTTGTCCCTTGGTGCCAGGAGGGACCCTTCCTGGTTGTCATGTCCCACTGTGGAAGGAAAGAGCATGATTAATGGAAACCATTTAAGGTCACATTTGAGTAACAAGGGATAGAAAGGAGAACTCTCAGGCATTTCCCACTTAAAGACTGTATCTTACCAAGGCTGTAAGCATTAGAGATCATCTTGAAATGTTGAGCCAGCATCACCCTATTGGATAGATTATTTCTGCAAAGGCTTAACAGGCAACAGGCACAACATTTTTAAATGATTATAACAATACACAAAGAGAAGCAGAATAATAAATCTAGTTTGTGAGGGCACCTGGGTGGCTCAGTTGGTTAAACGTCCCACTCTTGATTTTGGCTTGGCTCAGGTCATGATCTCAGGATCCTGAGATGGAGCCCCACATAAGGCTCTATGCTCAGTGTGGAGTCTGCTTGTCCCTCTCCATCCTCACGCTTGTATTCTCTCTCTCTCTCTCAAATAAATCTAGTTTGTATAAGGTCCTACATGAGAAGCCCAAACCTGAAAGTAACCAGCTAAATAGATCAGATGTCAGGAATCAGGTTTTCTCTTAGCCCGGAAAAAAAAAAAAAAAAAAGTTCTAAATTCCAGAGTTTATCCCCCTAGCAACAGCCTAGGAGATACAGGTGATGGCTTTATTTTTTCCAGGCCAATGCCAAGGTAAAAGAAAGAAGGGGAAAAAGACAGACTTTTATGTTTAAAGTATGAAGTCTTGATGTGGTGTCTTGAGTGGAAGCAGTCTGCCTTGATGTCTGCTACTTCTCTTCCATTTGATTGAAAATCTCCAGGGTTTGTACAAGACCAGATGTCAGGTGCAGCCATCTTTAGCTGTGGGATGTACGTCCAAGATTCAAACCCCTGAAGTCGGGCTGTCATTTGGGTAATGAGGAGGACCTGGTATATATAGTTCCTTTCAAGGAGGTTCAAGGGCTGTCTTTGTTCCAAATCAGAAGCATGGGAAAAAATTGGAAACATTAGTTTGGAGAGTGGTAGGCAGATATTTGAGAAAACCAGAAGAATTCAGGATCTAGTACAGTTTAATAACAGGATTAGAATCTAATATAGACAGATGTGCAAACATAATTTTTCTCTCTATACTTCCCCTGGTATTTACTAAAGATAATCACAGTAAAACTAATTTGTATGCATTAAACTTGGCCTATTTACACAAGTTTAGCAAGAACAGTGATTGACCATATAAGCTCTTTTTAAGACTGCTTTTCTAGAACCTTGTAAGCAAGGTGCCAAGTCAGTTTTCTTGAGGAGCTTTATTGGCTCCATAAAGTAGCCTTAGTTCCTTAAAAACTGCCCTGTCAAATCTGAGTTTATGCACATCTCTCTCAAAATAATCCAGAGCCTTGGTAAAGTAGCCAATATTTCCAATTGTTATTACAAGGAGAACAGATTCCCATTGTATTTATGTAAATAACTATATTGCCATGTGAAAAAGTACTCAAGAGTTTCAAAATTCTGGAGGGATCAGGTAGGGAGAAAAAGTAAATCTTTCATCTTTGTTTACAAAGTTATATTTTACCAAATTGCTGTATTTCATAGATAGTTTTTTTTTTTAAAGATTTTTTATTTATTTATTTGAGACAGAGAGAATGAGAGAGATAGAGCACATGA